TATGTATTATTAATGCATGGCGTCACCACACTAGTCCAACGCTAGTTGTGACTTCTCCCTCCGCTTACTTGCTAGTCCAACGCTAGTAAGGTTTTTTTTAGAAATGAGTTAGTCCAATGCTAAACCCTTATATCATTCGTGCGTTAGATTCATCCTTGTTTGATATTCATTACATTTTCATGCATATTTTATATTTTTAGGATCTTTTCTCGTTTGCATGATATTGTCTATTATATTATCCTCAATCCTTTACCCTCTATATTTGTTAATCATATCATTTAGAATTGCATTTCATTTAAATTAGATCATTTGCTTGTCTATGTTAGGAAAATTATTCTTTGAACATGGAAAATGAGTGATTATAACTTTTTAGTTTAAATACCCCATTAATCCCTATATAAGAAAATTATGTCACGAGTTTTTGCCGCCCGCACCCCTTACATTGCATTCCCTTTTTCTTTCATTACTTATATCTATGTATATAATTTAATTTCTTTTCTTTTCTTTTAATTTCATCATTTGCATACATGTGACACTTTCAAGGTATCATTTTGGCCTTCGCAATTAATGCGATTGAATCAATTAAACCCTTGAATAAACATTTTGCCATTTTCGATATTTTTTTAGATTTGCATCCATGTAGGAAATATCCAAACATGATAAAATTAAGGGTTAGATTAGGAAAATTTTGACTAAACCTCGTAACTAACTTAGACTAGATTGAAAGGGTGCCTTAGATTTGAGTTGATCGAACTTTTGCCTTCCCTTTCTTCAATCGTGACTCCTAAATCCATTTTCTCTTGTTTTTTTAAGATCTGGAGTTGTTAAAAAGGGTTTTATCTTATTTTATTTTTATTTTTGTCAAAAAATATTTTCTTTGGGGTGACTTGGTACACCCAAACTCAATACCAAGTGTCGACTCCTATTTTTTCTTAAAAACCCTTTTAGACTAAATTTTGGACCCAAATTATCGCATTTTTTTAAAGTCCCATTTTAGGTCCTTTTCACTTATTTTTAAATAAAAATCATATCTTTTATAAATACCTTTTATTCTTATTTTTTCATTGCAAAAAAGGAGCGCGACAACTTGGCGACTCCACTGGGGATGCTAGAGAGTCGAAACACTTGGTTTAATTATCTTTTCTCTTTCTAACCCTTTTATTTATCATATTTGGATGTTTTAGGTTGTATTTTTCTTTTTTAGGATATATTTTGCATTTCACACACGCGACTGTCTCTTGATATCCGTGTATGCGATGATTTGTTTATTTACTTTCATTATTTTATGTTTATATATACTTGTATCGCGCTTGCATCTTGGGTGGAAGGAAATACCACTTTAGAGCCTTCACGCATGTTTTAATCTCTCCCCTCAAAAAAAAGCACATCATACGTGCATGCATTATTGTTATCCTATTTTTATTCTTTCTCGTGGGCGCCATCCCACATCTCCTTGTAGGATTAAGATCGATTTCCTTAGGTAGGCGGATGGTGTGCTCTGCGCCCATAGCGTGCCTAAGGGATTACTCAAGTCACCGACCGAAGGTCTTGAAATTGATGACCCTTAACCTTTTGGTCTGAAGGCTCGGGAGTTTAAAACCTTATCGAGTCTAGATGCATTAGTAAGCCAAATCTCATGCATCTATATTAGAAATTGCCTAGGGTAGAGTCTGTCTTACCCTAGTAGTAACATTAGACACGATGGGAGGGATTTCACCCTTCTTTCTTCGCTTTATTTACTTTTCATTCTTGTATCATTTATTGTCTCAACGTGTTATGTGTTATTTGTTGAACTAATCTCTTCTTATTTTTCCTTTTTCTGTATACACAAACTTTAGAAATAAGAGTCCTGACATGGTACTCGTTTAGGATAAGACCGCCTCTTATATCAAGAATGTTTAAATTTTAGTTAATTGCATATGCATATGTACTACACATCATTTTAAGCTTATCCCGGCATTTAAATGGGGCACTTTTAGGTCACATTTCAATTATTTCATTGTATATTTAATATGTTTTAATAAATTGTCATCATGCATTAACCATAGAGGGAATGCAACATAGGGAATCCCACGGTAGGAATAAGCCACCTTTTGTCTCGGATATGTAATCTAATGAGACTTGCATGTTTACGATTTTGTATTGCCTACGGGGTAAAATCCCGATGTAAGGTACTAAAAGTGAAATTCCTCCTCAGATGGCTCCGTGCAGAATGCTGAACCAGATACCTCGGGAACTAACAGACTGGAAATATAATATAACACATGAAGTGAAGAGGCTGTTCAAGTATGTGGGACATTTACCGAGTCTTCTAAGCATAACTCCAAATGTTGCAATTATTCAAGTTCTACTTGGGTACTGGGATCCAGAAGGTTCTATTTTTCGATTCGGTGAATGCGAACTAACACCAACTTTAGAAGAAATAGAAGGATTATTGCAGATACCTAAGAAAGGTTATCCTATGATATATCCAACTAGTGGAATAAGGGAACAGTTTTATAGGTTTTTGGGATTAAGGCAAGCTAGCATGAACCAACATCCGGATGCGAGATCGTGGCCGTTAGAGTTTCTGTATGAACGATTAGGAGAAAGAGGGTCCTATGAACAGTACCGAACCGATTTTTTCATAAGTAAAGAGCAATGGGAAGAGAAGCGAGTGCAAGCGTTTGGGTTAGCTTTGGTCAATCTATTATTGTTCCCGTAGAAGCATGGAAAGATCACATTTTTCACAATCAACATGGTTCAGAGTCTGTTTTTAGGAATTAATGGAACCATCCCTACCTTGGTGCCTGTAATTATTGCCGACATCTTCACTGCCGCTACTGAATGCCAAAAGAAGAGAGGTTTCTTTTATGGGTCAAATTTGATACTCCAAATGTGGGCAATGGAGTATCTAGCGGAAAGAACGCTCAATCCTCTGGGATCTTGTCTTCCTATAGAGAATTGGATCGAATCACATCGAGAAAGGGTCAAAAAGTATTATCGAATTGCATCTCCGAGTCAGTTTATTCATGAGTTCGATAATTTGACACCCGATAAAATACAATGGGTTTTGGATTGGACAAAAGTTAAGGATCCGATTTTCACAACTACCCAACACAATTTCATCCCCCTAGCAAACACCAATGGATTGGTCGCATATGTTCCGCAATGAGTCATGAGGCAATTTGGGTATCCACAAAGAGTTCCGATGATACGAGAGATTGGAAATATCAGATTCAACACAGTTGCTGAGAGTCGGAGCATGGTATTGGAAGCTTGGGAAAATCTTCGTGGTTTAGAGGATCTGCACTTGGATCAAGTCAACAAATTGGAACCAAAGATCATTCCAGAATATAATGAGTGGATCAAACTGATAGTCGAACAAGCAAGAGAGAAGTCACAATCTACTCCCACTAGCCCTGAAGAGCAGATAAACAAGTTGAAGAAAGAGCTCGAGGATTACCAATTTCAACTCATAGTGGCCGATCATACTTTGGAGGATGCCCGATCACAATTAAAGAGGGAGACAAGAAAAATTGAAAAGTTGGAAAGAGCACTGGATGCCTTTGACAAAATTCAAGAAGGAATTCGAAAACTTAGTATAGGAAATTTTAGGGAGTTTCAATGTACTAGTTTAGCGAGGCACAAGGATTTTGTAAAAACGGTCAGCTGAACCATCAATAAAGCTGTAAAAAGTGATTAAACTTGTCAGTATTTAGTGAGGAGTTCTACTTTGATTCCTACATTCACTTACAGGTTTGGAATTGGGATTTTACCCCGAAGGTGTTGCATCATATTAGGCCTACCCTTGGCAGAAAGGACTCCCCAATAGGACATGCATCCGAATTATTCTAGTCGTTACTAACTCCTGTCTTTTTTCTTTTACCTTTTTCTTCTTTTTGGCAACAGTCAGTCAAGAAGGGTATCTAATAAGGGTTTTCCTACATTCTCAGGTAGTAATTATATTTCTCACAATAGCTACCCGAAGAAGTCCTATCATCACCAGATCTCGAAATAGAGCCTTGAGATAGCCTGTAAACATGAGTTCAGTACCAGAAATTTTGAAAAGATCTGCTATGGTCATGTCGCCGGACTTCACAGCATTGGGAGCTCAGTTAAGTGAGGTACTTGGCAAGTTCAATGAGTTAAGTGTTGAAATGACCGCACAGAGGCGTGTAATTGATCAGTTGGTCACAAGCAATAGTGGTGGTGGTGTCCCCAACGACCAAGAACCTATCGATAATCACCCACCTGCCTAAGACTATCAACCACCCCACACATCCAATACCCAAACAACTTTCATTCCTCCTTTCGCCAATCCTCTTGAAAATACCTTTACTCGATTAAACTCAAACTTTTCCTATATGCCTCCAAATTATATATTGGTGAACCCAACCAGCAGTCAAATCCCTCAAACCCATCCACAAACCAATTTGAACGTTCCCCCCAACCCTCAGGGAACCCACCACCACATTACAGAGCCTTTTGTATTAGATACTGCATCTCAAGGGAAGGCGACGGTAGAAGAACAATCTACACCCATTGATAAAGATCTCTTAAGAAGGTTGGATCGATTCGATGATTTTATGAAAAAGAATCAAGGGTTGAGCAGGCATGGTGGTTTGGACTACGATGAATTGTGTCTTTTTCCAGGTATTTAGCTACCATTGGGATTCAAAACTCTCAAATTCAGCAAGTATGATGGAACTGAAAATTCTAAGACGCATCTCAAGATGTTTGCCAACAAATTAGGTAAGCCCATGGATGATGAAAATCTGCCTATGCGTCTGTTTCCGGAAAGTTTAGAGGGAGATGCTCTAGATTGGTATTCGAATCTGAAGTCTGAAGAGGTCAAAACCTGGTTGGATTTGTCAACAGCCTTTGTGAAGTAATATGAGTTTAATTGTGAATTGGCACCAACACGAACAACACTGGAGGGTACAAAAAGAAAGTCATCGGAAGATCACAAGACCTATGCAAAGCGGTGGAGAAAGTTAGCTGCCAAAGTGGAGCCTCCTATGACTGAGGAGGAGATTGTTTGTACTTTCATCAAGGCTCACGATCCATCCTACTTTGAAGAGATCTTTCGCATGACTGGAAGTTCATTTGCTGCCATTATTAACAAGTTGGAGGAATACGATGAGTTTGTCAAAGTAGAAAAGATTGTTAATGTTTCGGCATTAAAATTGCAATTGGATGCTCTACAAAATCAAAACAACAGTGGGAAAAAGCCCTCATTCAAGAAGAAAGAAGATGATATTGCTTTTATATGGGATCAAGGCCCGTCTTTCAGACCCAGATCATCCCACCTATTCTTTTCCTTACCCGTATTACACCAACCCTCAACCAGTCTACCACACTACTACCCAATTTCATCATTCCCGACCAAGTCACTTGAATACCTCACCCTTTCCTCCAATCCCACAACTTGTTTTCAAAATTACTCTCGCCCCATTTACCATTCTAGACCAACCCTGGAAAATAATAACCCTTTTCAAAATCCTTTTCAAATAAGTGGAATTCAAACTCAGAAGCAATTTCAAACTTTCACCAATTTGGGCCGGCCTATTGATCAATTGTATGAGCAGTTAAAAGCAGCTGAAAAAATTGGCACTATCCCTCCCAAACTCCATCCCAGAGGTCCTCCTGCCGGTTATGATCCGCATGCAATCTGTGCTTATCATTCTGGAAGTCCAGGTCATACCACTAGTAATTGTTGGGTTTTAAAACAAGACATGATCGATTCTGGAGACATCCTTCTCAGAAGAAAGGGAGAGCAGGGACCGAATGTTAGTAAGAATCCTTTGCCTGAGCATGGGAGCACTGTGGGAATTATCATCGCTGATGAAGATTTTGCCGATCCCTCTCAGTACATTGTAGATGAAACTGAGGTGTTTGGCATGATGGAGGCTGACCATGCGAGAATGAGAAAACAGTCGTCTGTTGAAAAGCCCATGACCAAGGATAATGTCGAGGAAAGGTTGAAATCTTTGGTGTTTGAAAAAGATGAGCCATTTATAGTAGAAGGAGGGCCTTCCGAGATTGACAATTCTAAAGCTCCTTTTATTTTGGATCTACCATCTTTTGAATGGGATATATCAGAGCCTGCCATTCTCAAATTTTCAGAACAAATGCCTATCAATAACTTGCAAGAGGTGCCATGGAACTACGAGGAGTCTATTCTGTTGATTGGAGATAAAAAATGCTTAAAGGAGGAGGAATCTACTATTACCCCGTCTAGGAGAATTGTAGGAAACTCCAAAGTTGATGTTCAGTCTCGGGCTAAGGTTAAATCCCCGACGCCTAAGCCTCTTGTGTCTGAAAGTGAAGCTGTGAATTTTTTAAAGATGTTGAAAAGAAGTGAGTGCAAAATAGTAGAACAGTTGGATAGGATGCCTACTCAGACTTCTTTTCTGAATCTTCTTTTGACTTCCGAGCTATACAGAGAAACATTGCTCAAAATTCTGAACGAAACTCAAGTCCCTAAAGATATTCCGGAGGATAAATTTTCTAACCTTGTGGGGAATGTGTTTGCTGCTAATCATATCGCCTTCTCCGATGACGATCTGACTGCAGAAGAGATCGGACATAATAGAGCCTTGTATATATCAGTCCGCTGCAATGGAAAGCTGTTGCCAAGAGTCTTAGTGGATAATGGGTCAGCACTGAATATTTGTCCATGGAACACCCTCACCAAACTTGGATTTCTTGACATTAAACTCCGCCCATCTGCAACTGTGGTTCGAGGATTCGATGGTTCAAGGAGGGAATCTATGGGAGAGACAGATCTGGTATTGGAGATAGGCCCTGCTCAATTTCAAGTTACTTGCTAAGTCATGGACTTCTCCAGCGTTTACAATATTTTGCTTGGAAGACCTTTGATACATGCTTCCAATTCAGTGCCATCTTCTCTGTATCAAATATTGAGATTTATTGTGAATGATCAGCTCATTACTGTGTTTGCTGAGGATGACTGTACCATGATCGTCGATGCAAAATTCAAAAGCGAAGACAGAAAAAGAACTCCAATTTCATCTCATCATGTTGCTGACATCGTCTCCATGGGATGGGCATCTAGGGTCAAGTCGCTGACTCAATCAGATTTTCCAGAGGCCAGTATTATGATGGCTAGAGAGATGATCCGAGACGGATATGAAATAGGAAAAGGCCTTGGGCGGGAATTGCAAGGAATTTTGGAGCCAATTGAGATCCCGACGCAGAAGAATACATTTGGACTGGAATTTCATCCAACTGTTAAGGATAGAAGGGAAATGCAAGCTCGAAAGCAAGCTGAAAAGAAGGGTAAGCAAACTGCCTTAACTGTCCCACCGCTATATCATATTTTTTTCTCGTCCATCAGAGGTGATTATGTCAGAAACGAAGAATCCTGTGGAGGAAATTGAAGCGTACCTATCTCAATTATTTGTCGGGGCCACTTGTGAGGAGGAACCATCAGAGAATACAGAATTTTTGTCAGTTGCTGAAAGAGCTATTCAGAACTGGACTGCTGATTATCTTCCCTCTCGAAGGGAATTTCGGTAAATTTAAGGGGATTGTCTTTTATCTAGATTATATCCAGATAGGACGGTAGTCTGGATCTTTTGTTAAACGAAATTGCTTTCATTTAAAAAAAAAAAAAACCTTTAATCTCGTTTCAGTTAATATAGCTTGCTTCGTCCAAGAAAATTGCTGAAACGGAAATAAAGGTTTGGGCTAGATGTGTCTTTGAATAGCAATCATGTCTGTATATTTATCTTTTTGTGAAGTCTCGATGCATTTTTGAATTTAATGAAATGAAAGACTTCTCCAGTATTTGCTATTTATTTATTACTTATGTTCTATTCTATTTTCAGATGACCACAAATAAAACCCTCTGACCCTTTGGATGTCACCATTTTGAAATTCGATGGCTGCAATCTCGATATCTCTCATGAACTTGAAATCATGCAATCTGAAATTCAAAACGAGAGCGATACTGAGGAAGAATTTGAGTCTATTTCAAGGGATTTAAAATAGTACGAAGAAAAATCCAAACCCAACTTAGAAGAAACAGAAATCATCAATATTGGCACTAAGACAGAGCTTAAAGAAGTTAAAGTCAGCATTCATTTGAATAAGAAACAGAAGGAGGAAATGATTGAATTCTTAATGCTATTTCAAGATGTATTTGCACGGTCATACGATTATATGCCAGGGATCTCTACGGATATAGTGGTTCACAGGTTGCCAACTAATCCAAAATTTTTATCTGTAAAGCAGAAGCCTCGTAAATTCAAATCAGAAATGAGCCTCAAGATAAAGAAACAAATTGTGAAGCAGCTCAACGCCAAGATAATCATGGTGTCTCATTATCCCGTCTGGCTATCAAATCCTGTGCTAGTGCCTAAGAAATTTGGGGAGGTGCGAGTATGTGTTGATTACAGAGATCTGAATAAAGCCAGTCCGAAAGATGATTTTTCTTTGCCAAATATTCATATTCTTTTGGACAACACTGCTGGACACGAGATTGAATCTTTTGGTGACTGTTTTGTTGGGTATCATCAAATCTTAATGGCAGAAGAAGGCAGAGAGAAAACTTCTTTTATCACCCCATGGGGAACATTTTGTTATCGAGTGATGCCTTTCGGGTTGAAAAATGCTGGAGCTACTTATCAAAAGACCATGACTACCTTGTTCCATGATATGATCCACAAAGAGATGGAGGTTTATGTAGATGATATCATAATTAAATCAAAGAGAGTCGAGGACCATTTGGTTGATTTGAAGAAACTGTTTGAAAGGTTGAGAAGATATAATTTGAAGTTGAACCCGACGAAATGTGCTTTTGGAGCTCCAGCTGGTAAATTATTAGGCTTTATTGTCAGCAAAAAGGGTATAGAAATAGATCCTGCGAAAATAAAGGCAATTCGAGATATGCCCATTCCAAAAACTCAAAAAGATGTGGAGAGTTTTCTTGGAAAGATCAATTTCATTAGCCGGTTCATTGCACAGTTAACCTCTACCTGTGAACCTTTGTTCAAATTGTTGAAGAAAAATGCGCCGATGGATTGGAGTGAAGACTATCAGCAGGCTTTTGATAAGATTAAGACTTACTTGTTAAATCCTCCGGTCTTAGTGCCACCTCAGCCAGGAAGACCTCTGATTATGTATTTGTCTGTTCTTGATGAGGCTGTCGGATGCGTTCTGGGACAGCATGACGAGTCTGGCAGAAAGGAGTAAACCATCTACTATCTGAGTAAGAAATTTACAGCATATGAGCCCAATTATTCTTTTCTTGAAAGGAGTTGTTGTGCTTTAGCATGGACAGCTCAGAAGTTGAGACATTATTTGCTTGATTTTACCACTTACTTGATTTCTCGTTCTGATCCTCTAAAATTCCTGTTGAAAAAGTCGATGTCCACGAGATGTATGGCTAAGTGGCAAATGATCCTCTCCGAATTCGACATTGTCTTCACAACACAAAATGCAGTCAAAGGTCAAGCTATAGCAGATTATTTAGCAGAAAATCTAGGAGATGATGATTACCAGCCATTACATACCTACTTTCCTGATGAAGAAATTCTGTTCGTTGGAGCGGTTGAGGACATGAGTGAACAGTATCCTTGATGGAGGTTATTTTTCGATGATGCATCGAATTCTTTTGAAGCTGGAATCGGAGCAGTTTTAGTGTCGCCTGAAGGGAAACACTATCTTGCTACTGCCAAATTACTGTTTCCCTGCACCAACAATATGGCTGAGTATGAAGCTTGTATTTTTGGATTGAAAATGGCATTGGACATGGAAATCAAGGAACTGATAGCATTCAGTGATTCTGATTTACTTGTGCACCAAACGCTTAAGCAGTGGATAACTCGTGATTCAAAAATTATGCTGTATCATTGTAGTCTGCTTAGCTTGGCCAACAAATTCAGAAATTTGAAACTCATACATATTCCCCGCACTCGTAACACCTTTGCTGATGCTTTAGCTACTCTGTCTTCGATGATCCAACATCCAGATGAGTTGGTGATTGAACCTATACAAATTCAACTTCAGGATAGACCAGTGCATTGTCTGGTTATGGAAAGGGTTGCTGAGGGTCGTCCCTGGTACAGTGATATTAAGGAATTCATTAAAACGCGATCCTACCCTCCTGACGCTGATTCGGTTACAAAGGGTTTCTTACGCAGAATGTCATCAAGATTCTTCTTAAATGGATAAGTGCTATACAAGAAAATATCTGATTTGGGTCTTCTGAGATGCATTGATGAAGAGGAAGCTGATTATATAATGAAGGAAGTGCATAGTGGGATTTGTGGGTCACACATGAATGGGCATCTATTGGCTAAGAAGATCATGAGAACAGGATATTTTTGGCTTACCATGGAGCATGACTGTGTAGATTTTGTTAGAAAGTATGTTAAGTGTCAAGTGCTTGGTAATGTTATTCCTACAGAATTGCATAGTATGACTGTTCCATGGCCATGTTCAATCTGGGGAATAGATGTGATCGAAACTATTGATCCTCCTGCTTCAAATGGGCATCGATTCATCTTAGTGGCGATTGAATATTTCATCAAATGGGTTGAGGTCGCGTCCTATAAGCATGTTACTAAGAAAGTGGTGTCGAATTTCTTGAGAAATAATATCATCTGTCGTTTTGGGGTACTAGAAACATTAATTACCGATAATGCCAAGAACCTCAATAATGATATGGTGGATGGATTATGTGAACAGTTCAACATCAGACATCGAAATTCTGCCATTTACAGGCCTCAGATGAATGGAGCCGTCGAAACCGCAAATAAGAATTTGAAGAAAATCATTCGTAAGATGACTGAAGCACACAGGGATTGGCATGAGAAGCTACCTTATGCGCTGACGGCATACAGAACTACTATCAGGACTTCTACCTGAGCGACTCCTTACTCTCTTATGTATGGAATGGAAGCAGTTTTGCCTGCAGAAGTTAAAATTCCTTCCTTACGTATTCTGATGGAAGCTCAGATAGAAGAAGCTGAATGGGTCAGAGAACGTCATGAGCAATTGTCTCTGATTGATGAAAAGAGGTTGAATGCCATCTGTCATGAACAATGTTATCAGCAGCGAATGGCTCGGGTTTACAACAAAAAAGTTAAGCCCCGTCTGTTTGAAGTTGGAGATAAGGTTTTGAAACGGATTCTTCCAATGCAAGATAAGACTAAAGGGAAGTTTGCTCCCAATTGGCAAGGACCATTCATTGTTAAGAAAGTGCTATCCGGAGGAGCGCTTATTCTTATGGAAATGGACGGCCAAGTTTTTTCCCAACCAATCAATGCAGACATGTGCAAAAAGTTTTTCATTTGATTATAAAAAATTTTCTTTAAAAATACTGCAAGAGACGGATTTAAGGCATACTTCCTCTCATTTTTCCATTTCGATACTCTATCCCCAATTTATTTTCCCTTTTGGCTTTTCATAACCACCTTCTCTTTTCGCTTGGCGGTCCCTTAAGATCACTAACCCCATACTGGGGCAATTTTGTTTCTTAAAAAAAAAGAAAAAAAAAGAAAAGAAAAAGATGGAAAAAAAGAAGAAAAGAAAAAAAAAGAAAAAGAAAGAGAGAAAAAGAAAATAGAGAAATTTTTTCAGAATTAAACTGGGGCAGATTTTACCTTTTCCAACCCTAGATCGGAGCAAGTTTTTGAAAGAATGCTATCTCAATTGATTACAAACCCATCATATGATCCGTTGTCAAACCTTCCAACCCTTAACCTTTTCTTTATTACTTTATCCGATCCTACTCACAAGAGCCAAAATTGCCAATTTTCATCTTTTGCAGTATTTTGGAGAAAAATTTTTCTTAGTCAACTGGCAAATGATATAAATACAACTTTTCTGAAACATGTCAGAGAAGATTGTCTCACTAATGCTACTCATTATCAAAATATGACTGGATTGATATAATTGGGGTTAAAATTGTCTTGTCTATGTCTTTAGGTGAAAACCTGAAAGGGCACCTTCTAAAAAAAAAAAGAGAAGAAGAAAGAAAAAAAATAAAAAGAAAAAAATAATAATAATAAAAATATTAAAAAAAAGAAAATGAAAGGGTGGGGGTAACCTTAGTGAAAACCCGAAAGGGCGCTAAGGTAGGGTTTTGGAATACAAGAAGATCGTGAATGCAGAACGAGATGCTGAGGTCTGAAAGCTGGTGACTATGTTGATTTGGATCTCTTTCATACTGTTATTCTTTTGCCGACAATGAATTCCAAAATGGATGACGTCGAAGGGGTCAGATGGGGCATTTTTCTTCATCAAGAGCCGTCCTCTAAATATCTATCCAACTTTTGATCCTTGGATCCTTGTTCATAAGTTCAACAATTTTGTTTTAATACTCTATTTACTATTTTATTTATTTATTATGTATCAGTTGTTTATTTCATATCAGCCTTATTGCGTGATAAATAACACATTTTTCAATTATTTATATTCCTCATTTTTTTTGGTCTCATTCAAATGACAATCCCCTATAATTCATCCCAAAGAAGTCATGGAATTGAAAGTCCTATGATAATATAATAAAGTATGGTCAATTGATATTTGGCAGTTGCAGAGATTCTGAAGGGGTTGTTGACCGAACCCGAAGGAGCGATTTATCAATATTGAAACTCATGTTTACATGGTTCTCAAGACAAAGGGATCACATGGTGGTGGCAGTGTTTTCATCACAGTTGTTTCTTTTCCTTTGTTCCTTTTTGCAGGAAAACTTACGTGACACAATACTGATTCAGTTGAGCATGATTCACACTAGAGCAAATGGTAGAAGGATTGAGTTTCAAGTTTTGCTGTACATTTTTGAAGAAAGAAAAATCATTATTCCCTTTCTTTTAAAGTTCGAAAAATCAAGAAAAGTTGTAAGTCCACCAGGTAAGTTTGTCTTGGTTTCTTACCTTTTGAACAACATGCATTCTGATCTTTCAGTTCGATAGCATAGAACTTGTGCTTCCAATTCTTCCGCTAGTTATTTGAGCTCGAATTTAATCCTACCCATTATCTGGGTTTCGAGCATATTTTCATTCTCTTGACGGGCATCTGGGTTTGGATTCAGTCCTATTGAGCAAAAAAAAAAAAAAAAGGAAAGAATCAAATTTAATTTCCTGTTGGAGCGTAATCGCATCCCTCCGCGCATCTTTTTTTCCGGAAAATCAAATTTAATTTCCTGTTGGTGAGTCTCAGCGTCCACCGCGCACCCTTCTATTTGAGCGTAATCGCGTAATTTCCTGTTGGAGCGTAATCGCGTCCCTCCGCGCATCTCTTTTTCCAGAAAATCAAATTTAATTTCCGGTTGGTGAGTCTCAGCGTCCGCCACACACCTTTCAACCCCTTCTAGACAATCACATTTAATTATCTTGTGTTTCGTATTAGAAGTTCTGAGAGTTCAGACTTTTTCAACTTTGCAAAGATCACAGATAGTCAGTGCACATGTTTCATTGTGGATCACTTATTTTTGAACTACGTGTAACCTGATTCCCATGGCGGGATACGTATGCAACTCTACATGAGTTCGGTCACGTGTTTTGCAATTTCATTACATCTTTTGTTCAATAATTTTAGCCAAATGTTGGCTTGTTGTTTTAGTCCAAGTGCAGTTAGAAGAAACAGGTAAATAATTTGGTGTCTACATCTTTGTCTTGAATTTCTTTGAAACTCTAGACAAAGAGGGGCGAGTTGTAGACACCAAATTTTTATTAAATATTAATATTTTTTTGAATTTTTTCTATTTAATAATTTATTTATTTTCTTACATTTTTATGTGCATTTTTCTTATTTTTGCAGGTTTGTTTTAAAAAAATAAGAAAAATAAGAAAAAAAAAACCAGCTAAACCCATTTGACAAAAATCCCTTGGTTCCCTCCTTATTCTCGGGGACTGACTGAAGAAAAAACGGCAATTTGGGGCTCAAAAAAAAATGTACTCTATCGGCTCTGACACAGGGAGACCATCCCTTGGACAAGAAAGATACCAACTCCCCATCTTTTTCCCTCAATTTACTCTTCATTCGGCTCTCTGGAGGAGAACAGACAAGACCATCAGACAACGAAAGACTCCACTCAAAAAAAAAAAAACTCGCTCGGCATTTTGGGTTTTGGCTTTCAACTCACAATTTTTATTGAACACCCACACACAAACAAAAAAAAAATACTCTCTCGGCATTTTGGCAAACAAAAGGGGAAACAAATTGTCAGACCATTGAGGCTTAGGAATCTGATCACAAACCTCAACTACCAGTGATTGCAATCTTCTTGAGGTTTTTTTTTTCTTTATTTTTTTAGTTTCGTTTTTCACATTTAATTCATATTTCGTTGCTTATTTCCCCCTGTTTTTGTTGCCTTGCATTGTTGTTGTTGTATTGTTAAAATTTGGGAAATGGCATGAACCAGATTTAGGAAAAGGAAATGTTTCTTATGTATGCATTTTAACCGTTTGAAGAAATGCCAAGATGGAAAATCGGATTAAAATGTTAATTTTGTACATGCATTGTTGTTAAAATGAATAATCATGACTAGTTACTGGTTTGGGGGGTTTGTTTAATTAAGTTTTGTGTCATTTTTGTAGTCTAAAAGGCAACAAAAGAAAAATGAATTTTAGGGGCTGTTTTGCTTTAATTTAGCCTTTTTATGTTGTTTTCTTGTCAAATCAAAATCATAGTTGTATTGTAGGAATCATAAGGAGTGTTGTACTACAATTTTTATGATTTTTGGTGAAAGATATGGTGATTTGAAAAAAATAAAAACTGGGCTGTCTTTTGCTATTTTGGTCACTTTCGGATTTTTTTTTTTTTGTAAAAACTAACACCGGAAATGGATTCTACGCGAAAAATCGAGTGAGGGAGTGTATTTTGATGAAATTCGGTGACCGGAGAGGTCGCCGGCGACCACCGACGACGGCGATCCGGTGGCGGCGGCGCCACCGGCGACCACCATGGCCACCAGCTGAAGCTTCTTTAGCTGGCCGAAGAAGAAGAGAAGAAACGGAAGTAAAGGAGAAATAGAGAAGAAAAAAGAAAGAAAAGAAAAGAAGAAAAACAAAGGGGTTTTGGGCTAATGTTTTTTTTTCGGTGGGCTTGTGGCTGTGTTTTGTTTTATTTCTTTTGGGTTTCGGTTGGGCCGGAGGTTTAGAACCCATGCATTTCTGGGTCGGGTTTGAGTAATAAAATGACGGGCTGGCCTGCTCGTTTCTCTGGATTTTTGGCTGGGCTTAGGTAGTTTTCGGCCCAAAGAAATAAATAATTGCCCATGGCCTGTTTTCTTAAGAAGATCTGATTACGATTTGCACTTTGGCCCCTGATCGTTGGAGTAGTTTCACTGTGGCCTAGAACATTTTAAATTTCTTTCACTTTGGTCCTTAATTAATTACATTTTTGTCCCTAAATTTTATCTTTCATTTAATTTTGACCCCTAAACTTTGGAAAAATATAATTTTGTCCCCAAAAGTTTCTTCAATTTTTGCAATTCAGTCCCTGGTGAATTTTGACTCTCTTTTATTATGATTGTTTCTTTTCTTTAATAGTTAATTATATTACTTTTGAGTATATTTAACTTGTAATTTTTAGATGTTCTTAAATTTCTGTACCTTTGACATGTTAAGGTGAATTTAGTACTTTTATTGTTATTATTATTATTGTTTTTTTTCAATTAAATTGGTGCCATGATCCTTTTGTTCATTTTGAGTATAAATAGGGTAATTCGACTCCATTTAGTCACCACTTCAAAAGGGAGGTACCCCTATTATTATTTCAATATCAATTATGTGCTCTTATGTGTTCCTATGTGTTTACTTTTTTTTATATGCTTTATTTATTTGATTTAAATGTTCATTCAAATTTTCTTATATTTGTTTTAGTTAATTTTTTTTATAATTATTTGAGAAGCATTTAAATACCTCAAAAATGTAATAGATAAGATAATTATATTTGTTTTATTATATTTTCCCCTTTTTAGATTGTAATTAGGTTCCCTGTTGTAATAGATAGGGTAGATAGGATTTTATTTATTTTCCCATTTTAGGTTGTAGTTAGTCTCCCCGATGTAGTAGATAGATTGTGTGTTTATATGGTTTATGTGTTATATGCTTTATCCGTTTTTCTTAAGATTTTTGCATTTAGATATTATGTTTACGTGTTACGTGCTATGTGCTTTTATGTGTTTATTTGTTTTAATTTATGCCTCATCTGTTTTACTATGTATTATTAATGCATGGCGTCACCACACTAGTTCAACGCTAGTTGTGGCTTCTCCCTCCGCTTACTTGTTAGTCCAACGCTAGTAAGGTTTTTTTTGGAAATGGGTTAGTCCAATGCTAGACCCTTATATCATTCGTGCGTTAGATTCATCCTTGTGTGATATTCATTACATTTTCAAGCATATTTTATATTTTTAGGATCTTTTCTCGTTTGCATAATATTGTCTATTATATTATCCTCAATCCTTTACCCTCTATATGTGTTAATCATATCATTTAGAATTGCATTTCATTTAAACTAGATCATTTGCTTGTCTATGTTAGGAAAATTATTCTTTGAACATGGGAAATGGGTGATTATAACTTTTTAGTTTAAATATCCTATTAATCCCTATATAAGAAAATTATGTCACGAGTTTTTGTCTCCCACACCCCTTACATTGCATTCCCTTTTTCTTTGATCACTTATATCTATGTATATAATTTAATTTCTTTTCTTTTCTTTTAATTTCATCATTCGCATACATGTGACACTTTCAAGGAATCATTTTGGCCTTCGCAATTAATGCGATTGGTTCAATTAAACCCTGGAATGAACATTTTGCCCTTTTCGATTTTTTTTATATTTGCATCCATGTAGGAAACATCCAAACATGATAAAATTAAGGGTTAGATTAGGAAAATTTTGACTAAACCTCGCAACTAGCTTAGACTAGGTTGAAAGGGTGCCTTAGGTTTGAGTTGATCAAACTTTTGCCTTCCCTTTCTTCAATCGTGACTCCCGAATCCATTTTCTCTTGTTTTTTAAAGACCTGGAGTTGTCAAAAAGGGTTTTATCTTATTTTATTTTTATTTTTGTCAAAAAATATTTTCTTTGTGGTAATTTGGTACACCCAAACTCAATACCAAGTGGCGACTCCTATTTTTTCTTCAAAACTCTTTTAGACTAAATTTTGGACCCAAATTGTCGCATTTTTTTAAAGTCCCATTTTAGGTCCTTTTCACTTTTTTTTAAATGAAAATCATATCTTTTATAAATACCTTTTATTCTTATTTTTCCATTGCGAAAAACGGGACGCGGCATTAAGTAGAGGAACTAAGGGAGGTCAGTGTAATTTTCAAAAATTGGGGGGAGCTGAGTGAAATTGTCAGAAATCTCAAGGGAGGTTTCTGAAATTATCCCAAAGAAAATGAACATGGCAACAATCTTAGTTAAATTGGTTTTAAAAAATAAAAAAGGCAAGGGATGACAGTAGTTGTCGCCAGAAGAAGAAGAAGAGATGGAGTTGATTTTTTAAAGGAGAAAAATATTTCAATCCTTTTGGCCAAATTGAATCAAAAAAGGGAAGGAAAATTTAGCTAAAATGAGCAAAATTTCTGTTGTAAAAAATGTAGGCAATACATGTATCAAAAAGATATGCTACTATAGTAACTTGGCTTTCTTCTTTTATACAAGGATACAAGGTAGACTAGTAAGGCTTGGCTATGCTACGCATAGGGGTGCAAACGAGCCGAGTCGAGTCGAGTTTTGAACTTATCGAATCGAGTTAAGGTTGTTTATATGCGAGCTCGAGTTCAAGCTCGAGCTCGTCGAGCTCGAAAAATCAAGCTCGAGCTCAGCTCGATGTAAGAAAAGGCAAACTCGAGATCGACTTGTTTATGGCTCGCGAGCTTAGCTCGAATTCTGGCTCGTGAATAGCTCGAGTTGCGCTCGATTTTCTAGCTCGCATGAAGCTCGAAGGCAGCTCGATTTCTAGCTCGTTAGGAGCTCGAGTTCGAGCTCGAAAATAGCTCGAAAATTTCTGGAAATTTAAGCACGAAACAGCACTAATACAATCATAATTTCCAAATGTCCACTAACACAAATTCTCCAAAATTATCCACTAATACAAATTAACAGTTTCTGCCATCATAAGAACAAAAGAACCACACTTTGAAACCTCTATCAAGCAATATAAAATTCAGCTAAACAAGCATTTCACTAATGCAAGAAGTTGTAGAAGAATTGGAATTGCATTCTGCCAGGAAAAGAACTTATACCTGCATAACAAGAATACGAGATAGTGAATAAATTATTTGAATAGCAGGATGTGAAGACAAACGAAAATAGTTCTTTTTTTTTCACCTAAAGCAGCAAAGAAGCACATGGTAACTGGATTCCATTGTTTTTCCTATTGTCCATTTTGCCGACTGCCCCACAAAAGCTCGAAAGCAATTAAAACAAAAAAGAAATACAACATTCCATCAAAATCTAAAGATATTCAAGACTGACATGAATCTATTGCAAGCAATAGTTCAAAAAATAAAAATTTCTTATAAGATTAAAATACTTCAGTTTCACCACTCTCTTCAATATCACATGCTTAGTATACAATGATGCTAGCATAGTTAAAAAACATGGCTTGAGGATGACAATACCGTGTCAAGAAACAAAGGCTCATCAGCTTCTAGAAAAATGTTGTTAGTGCTCCTATAAAGTTCAAAGTCCCACTTTTCACCTCTTCCATAACGGCCACTAGTTATCCAATCAACAATGAGCAAGTTGGAGCTGGAGCTGGCACCAAAAAGCTGCTATTACCAGTAGCTTTAAAACTCAGGAAAGATATTGTACAAGATAAGTAGGATACTAGATTATACTTCTTTTAGACAATTGCAACCTTTATGCTTTGAGTTTATTAGTTAAACAGTAAAGCTGGAATTTTGGGACCTTGAAAAGCAAGCATTTTTGCATGTGACTGTCTTATGAAACATGATATATGGCCACAGAGAATGTATGTATAACGCATGGCCTTAATATCACAACAAGGCCAAGGATAGATGTTAAACTATTTTTTTAGGCATTCAGAATACTATATGTTTGGGGATTCTACGTTTTTTGTCCGAAATGTGCTTGATGTCAATCAGCATCTGCAATTCCTCTCTGAACTATAGTGGCTCTGGATTCTGAAATTTAGAAAGCCTATCTTGTCTAACCTTTGATTACCAAAAAAAGTTTTACTTTAATCCAGGAGATACTGGTTTTAAGGTGATTTAGCTAGATTAGTTCTGAGCATATACTGCTTCTGGACAAAAACTCAACCAGATTGAACCGTACTATGAAATTTTAGTTCTCCAAAATCAAAATGCGCAATTTTAGTTCCTAACAATGTCCAACATCCTGATACATAAATTACAGGGATTATATCAATACAGTAACATCTGAAAATTTTTATTAAATTGAAGATAAATCTGCAGCAATTGTGAAAGAAAGAAAAGATGGAGGAGAAAATTTTCAAGTATAAATGTCTGAAATAGAATTAACATACTAGAAGATTGGAAAACTGGAAAATTCAAATACAATATATCTTATTGTCTTTTCCTTGAGAAAGAAAGACCAAAAAAAAAAAGAAGTCGAATAAAGGGATTTGAGTTTTCCAAATCATCCAGCACGAAAGACGAGCATTTTTCTGGAACATCTTCCATCCAAGGTAAAATGGATTTGCAGGCCAACCAGGGGAAGCTAAGTCAAATGCCCCAAAGCATGTAAAATAATTCATTATTATAATCCAATCGGTTAGCCGCAGAGCATATAAAATAATTCAGTATTACAATCCAATTAATTAGCAAGGATGTTGCTCCCCTTTTGACATGAATTTCAATTCAGTATTGTAATCCAATTAGTTATTGAACAAACATAACTTAACCAATTAGCTCTTGTTTTTGTCGTAATCTCTTCCAAAATAGATGTCTGAAATAGAATTAACATTCTATAGCGAAACAAACACAATAAGTGGACCCAATCTTATGGAATGATAACTGCACCGACACTCAATCTTAAGCAATTCAGTCTCGAATTTCATTTACCCCTTGTTATTACTACTTCAAAGCAGAGCAAAGTGGATCACCTTCCAGAATCCAAAGAAAAAGGAAAAGGAAAAGAAAAAAACCTCAGTACATACCTGCAAAATCTAGGGACAAAATCCAGTGGACTGATATGAGGATGATGGTAAGGAGTGGTGGAGATGGGCTCAGCGGGTGGTACACTGGCGACGCTGGAAAAGCTTAGACAAAGCCCGGAGATGGCCTTCCAGATCCTCGTCCGTCAGTCGGCCTTCGTCAGTGGGTTGCGCACTCAGATTCTTGCGCGACTTGGAGGTTGCTGAAGTGGAGCTGGCGGAAGTGGTGGAGATGGAGCTACTGCACCGCGATGAAGTGGCGGAAGTGGGAGGAAATGGCAGTAGCAGTAGCAGCAACGGCAGTGGCCGAAGTGGGAGGAAGTGGAAAGGGAGCTAGCAGCAGCAGCGATGGCAGTGGGAGTTTGGGACAGTCGGTCGGCGGAGAGGAGTTAACCTAATCGAAGGAAGGAGGAAAGTTTAGACTTTAGACTACTGTGGCCGAAATCGATTGTAGCTTAGACTCCAGTCAAGTGTGCAGAAAGTTGTAATTTTTAATTGATTCAGGGGTATTTTTATAATTTCACATTTACTCGAGCCAAACGAGCGGCTCGTCGAGCTATCGAGCCTAAGAAATGAAGGCTCGAGCTCGCCTCGTGTGTCTTGACGAACGGCTCGAGCTCGGTCAACACGAGCTCGAGCCGAGCTTTGACTCGAGCTGCTCGCGAGCAGCTCGAGTCGTGAGCAAGCCTAGCTACGCACAGCCAGGTCCCACCTTGAAGTGTTTAAGGGTAGCAAAATTTGAAGGAATGTTTCTGAATTGAGTGTCATGCGTAAATGTATATGTGAAGTATGTATATTACTAAAATAGAGAGAAATTGGATTATTAGCATTTAAAATGAACTTACTTTACCACTTAATATATTATATGATTTTCTTGTGAATTTTAGTTGAATTCATTAATATTAATATTTAGCAGCATTTTAAAATATTTTAAAATATTTAGCATCATTTAAACTTGTATAAACCAACTAAAATTACCGCCAAATATAATATGAACTTTTCCTATCAATTTTATTTTAATTCATCTATGAAGGCAATGAAACAGGAACAACAGTGCATGATCTATACACTGAACTTTTGAAATTTTGGTCTTGGACTTGCACATTACAGTTTGCTAGTATTGATTGACATAAAAATCTGTTATTACATCCTTTATCAGCTGAGTGAAGAATTTTATTAACTTGTCTAATTGATTTTTTTCTTTGTTTTGACTATCAAAATTTAGCTGATAATGAAACAGACATTCAATTAGCTTAGCTATCCATCAAAGAAATTAGCAAGCATCTTCAACATGAAAATTTAAAAATGATCACAAAAATAGAAAAACAAATCTAAATAGACTAATCAATTTCAAAGTTCGTTGCCAGAGTTTACAATGATAAGTCACACAGTATATACGATTCAATAGTAAGTAGCTACCAGTAGTTTACTTACGAAACTTGTAAATATCAAGTAAACTTAACCAGCATTTTATCAAACATTATGTAGGCTAGTTATGAGTAATGTGACTAACCTAAAGTAAAGTGCTGGACAAAGTAAAATCTTGAATGCTGAAGGCAATGCTGCAAAATCAAAACACAAAACATGTAAAAGCATCTATATCTTACTACAATAAGATATAAATGCATAGAGATGGTGAAGAAAAAGCTAAGAAAAATTGTATTACCAAATGATGAGAAAGCAAGAAAGTGAAGGAAGCTTTCTTTCTACTATGTGGGGACGAGAAATAAAACAGAATAACAGTTGGTAGTGTATGTAGCAGTGTGTACTATACTATTCAAGGTTTGTTTGTTGATAATAATTTCATCTAAAAAAGTAGTCTATGAAACTAAACTAATGTAGTACTTTGTATTTCAATCTAATGGTTATGAAAAGATGAAGTACAACTGACAATTCATAAAAGGTTGACATTCTTGTGAAGGACAACCTAACTCTAAGGAAAAAAGTAATTGTCTAATCTAATTAGATAATTGTCAAAAAGTGGAGTAGGTGAAGAATGCTTGCATTATTTGACTTATTACAAGCAAAGGAGAGGAAAAACAGGAGAACCAAACAATCTGTAAGCTTCCTTGTTGAATAATCTAATAATTCAACGGCTAAGAAAAACGTTTTTCTCTCCAAATTAGATAGAACTTATAATCAATAGCTTTATTGAATAATCTAATAATCTGATGGCAAAAAAATAATGACAAAAATAAATGCAAATCTAACGGCTACCATTAAAACAAAAAAAATAGAAGAGCATTTTAATGAAATATAATAAATATATATATTTCTCATGTAGACGTTAATGCATTCCTTTGATTAATAAAGGAAAAAATTTATAGTAATAAAAAGCAAATATTAACATATAAATGAAATAAAATAAATTTGATAACAAAAATATATAATATCTTAAGTGGCAATGTCAGTTCATTTGTATAACCTTAAATGCTAATAGAAATATGAATAAACATAAGTCAAAAGTTACCAAATATTTCAATATGAAAAAATTAAAATAAAATTGAAACAGAAAAATGCACGTTGCATTAAGTAGCGATAATAATCTTTTTCTTTATAATAAGATGGAATTAGTTTTAAATAATCTTTTGCATTAAATTAACAAAATAGCAAAAAATAAAAAAAATATAACATTTTGAAAAGATCAATGTAATTGTATAATTTTTAGCAAGTGAAACTTATTTTGTCAAATATAATTTTAAATGACAATTCACATTGAAATAAATATAAATTCAAATAATAATGATAATGATAATAATATTGTAGTTCGATTACATTTGACCAAGACATAAGTTATTTTGTCAAATATAATTTCAAATGATAATGTAAATAGTAATAAATGTAAATTCTAATTGAATTATATCTATCCAAAGTGTAAAGATTGAAATAATTCAACCTTATAAAGGAATGCCAAATCCAGTCCAATTTAGGTCATTGAGCAATGAAAATTGCTACAATAACTTTAGACATTCAGCAAATCCAAAGAGAAAGAAAAAATAAATAAAAGCTCAAAATTTACCTATAGTGCCACGTGTCATTAAGGAAAGTTGTTACAGTAAATTTTAGATGACTTTTATGTCTCATGTTTAGGACTTGATTTGTACAATAATGTGTACAATTTTTGTGGAAATTGTTTCCTGTGCAATAGTGAAGTTACATGTGATTTTGACTAATTGGACAGGAAAAGCACTTTATGATTGTGGGAAAAACTTACATGTGATCTTAAAAATTTTTATTTTACAACATAGTGTATGATATGGTCAACATTTGTGCAACTATATAAATATTTGGGATTGAGTTGGATTTGAATTGACTTTAATGTGTCATATTACGGCTTATATAGTTGAACTAAAATGAGTTTTTGAATAAGGCATTCAAATATTGTTTGTTCATGGTTCAGTGTTGAAACCTTTTATTTTATGGATTAATCTTTCCTACACACATTGTCAACATTGAATAAATGACAACTATGCAAAATTTGAATTTGAAATTCAACTTTTGCATACATGTCATGAATCAAACGGTGATAGTGTATACACTGTCAATGTATGTAAAATTTACTCTTATTTTATATATACAATATCCATTTTTTTAAGTAATGACTTGAAAGTTGGGAAAAGTGTCCAATTCAACGTGTTACAGTAAATAATATAGAGTAAATCTTTCCTACACTGACGGTGTATACACTATCATCGTTGGATTTATGACATGTGCGCAAAAGTTGAATTTCAAATTCAAATTTTACATAGTTGTCATTCATCCAATGCTAATAATGTATACACTATCAGTGTAGGAAAGATTAATCCAATAATATAAGAGGGAAAAAATTCAAAGAACCTTCAATCTAGAAGCGGCTTTTATATTCTTCAAAACACATTTCTGCAGTTGTTTCCTTAAAAATCAGGTTGTCGATTTGTATTCCAATGTATTCCAGTATATATGGAGTAACATGACTGAGACATTCTTGTCAATTTTTTTTTTTAAATGTTACATATTTTTCATTTAAAATTTAGATCGTAAAAATATACTATCTAATTCTCTCAAACTTAAAATTGTTTTCTTCCCTTATCTTATAATTAAGGCATTACTGTCACACCCAATTTTCTAAAGTCCGGATAGATATCTAGAATTTTATATGTTTAAAAATAATATTGTAATTTTTGTAGATTTACAACTCTTAAAATCACAACGTGTGTAATATTACCAGATTCTTTTGTCAAAAGCCGGCTATGCTGACATATATCCTACTTTAAGGAAGAGTCTTAAGTACATTACTTGTCTTTATTTTATTACTAATTTTCTTTTAGTTTAATTTACAGGAAAAGGAGTTTTCAATAGTTATAAATTTACTGGGAGGCTGCAATGGAGCTTCGAGAAACGCACAACTCTAAAGCATCTTGTCTTTGTTATGGAATGTATTTTTTTAACTCCTATCAACAACTACTCTTAGAGTATATTGCACACAGATATTATTGCAACGAAGGCTAAAGCTATAATTTGTGGTGATGACAAAATATGTAACATGTACCGTGTTTAGGGCCATATTTGCATACATTAATACATTCTATGAACATACACTCAATGAACTTAACATCATGTAACTTATACTCTATGAACTTGATATGATTGCCACACTTGATTATATTGTCTAGGGCCAAATTTACACAATTTTTTGTACTTGCATCTTATAAATTCTTATCTTTTATGATTTAAGCATGAGAAAATATCTTTTTTTTTGGGGAAAACTAAAAGCAAAAGTTATTGATGTTCTTACATAAATCATTCGCTAGAAACTTGCTCGACAAGAACTTGCAAAATTTATCAGGTTTCAGAAATATATGCTTATCTGAGAGAATTCTTTTTTGTCTGTCGAAAACTCACTTGAAATTAGTAATGAATTGTCACAAATTTTAGACTAGGTAAGCATGATTAACCATGTTAATGATTAAAGATATTATCAAAAAGTTGCACCTTTTTTTTTTTGTTTTATAGCGAAAACAAAGAGTAGGTTAGCACCTAAAGAAACAAGAAAGGTAAAAGTTAGAAGTTCCGAAAATATTTTGGATGCAACATATTGGATGACATGTTATAGTTAGATGAGATAAAGTTCACATCTCAATAAAACTATATGCCAGAATCAGAATATTCACAAAGTTACAAAAGCTTCAAAGCGGAAAATTTAACATTACATGGTTTTAAGAAGAAATGAAAAGAGACAAAACATGCACCTTTGTTTTAAGGAAAAGTTTTTAACAAGGGAAGGGTATGATTTAGGGATAATATCAAAAACCTCCCCTGAGATTTCTCTTAATATCACCTAACACTCTTAAGGTTTTCAAAATATCACTTACCTCCCTTACTTTTGTTATTTGTGTAACAAAAATTTAAAAATTTCTAAACTACCCTTTTGTTCATTTTGCTAAATAAAATACTTCTAAGACACTTTATTCACTCAA